CGAAACAGCGCGGCTTCCTGCTGCGGCCCCGCCCGTCGCCGGCCCATTTATGCCTGGGGCCCGCCGCGCCCGGCCGGAGCCTGCTGGGCGGGGATCCCCCGGGCCCGCTCTCGTGGGTGAGCTTTCTGTGGGCGCCCTGCGGTCAGCGCTGCCCCTGGCCCCCCTCCTCCCGGCCCTCGCCCAGCCAAGGGGAGGCCGGCCCGGCTCGGACCCCAGAGGAGGTCAACGCATCTTGCTGACGCCTGGATGCTAGGGCGTCTTCCCGCCTCGAGTCCCATCGGGCAGCGCCTGCTGGCTCCGTGGTGCCGGTCGAGGGCCAGGGGACGCCGGCCCGTGTGCTGTGCTGGGTGTCGCCCGCCTTGGAGCGCTGGTTACTAACTTCTGACCCTTGCTCTTCTCTGTTACGACTCTCGTTGTCCGGAGGAATCGGTTGCGAGGTTTCCCAGGGGCCTCCCTTTCCAGGAGAGACATTGTGCTTGGCGGCCTAAGCCCTGGATCCCCAGAGTGTAACAAACAGGCCTGTCCCGCGTCTGGTCACGTCTCTGCATGGGCAACTGGTGCCTCACGGGTCTGGGGGGCACCTGCAGGCACCGCCAGAGGCATTGGTGGTGGGGCCAGAGCTGGCGAGCTCCCGCAGGCGCCACTGCCTGCGGTGGCGGCAGCCCTGTCAGGGGGGCATGTGCCCCCCCATGCTCCCCCTATGCGTTGTCTACGTGTCAATGGGCAGTCTCACCAGGCAGTGTCCACTGGCTCCCTGGATTCATTTGAGGGCCAATGGGTGCTGGCCAGCGTGCTCTGCTTAGTGTCCTCCTCCGGGCACTTATTAACCTCTGACTCTCACTTCTCTTCCTGTTATTGCTCTCTTCATAAACATGAATCCTGGTATCCCCACTTCAGTGCCCACTGGGCACCGCATGTGCTAACCTCTGAGAGCTCCTACATGATTATAGTCTGCAGACAGCCAAAGTTTTATGAAGAACAGTGATGGTCAGCCGTGGCACTCTGGGGTGCGGCGAGATCCTTTGAAGGGTGCTGCACAGAGGCCTAATAAGGAGGGTTGGAGCTGTAGGCAAAATCTGTGGGAGAGGTGGGGGGGCATGTGGTGGTGGAGGCGGGTGTCCTGGCAGCAAGAGCAGCCCCACAGCCTACCCATTCCAGGAACACTCAGACAGTCCCCGGATGGTGTTTCTGCCGCCACTGTGTGCTCTGCCTGCCTCTGCTGTTGATCCTAAAACAGCAGCAGCAGCCTGGGCTGCTTTGGAGTTCCCGGCATGGGTAAGCCATGGGGCTGTTCTTGCTGTTGGAGCGTGGACTCTGCAGGGGTGGGGGCAATTCTGGTAGCTCTCCTAACTTAGCACCTGGGGTGAGTGATCCTCTCACCCACTTCTAGTTATGCTACTAGTGCCATGGGAGGGCCCTCAATATTAGCACCAGTAAGTGCACAAGCACCTACACACCGTTCACAAGATAAAACCTGGAAGTGTCAAATAGGAGCCTATAGTGTCAAAAGTGCTCTGCCTTGATATGGTCTTTCTGACCTCTGCAACAGAATTGCTTTATTATTTTTCCCCAGTTAGAAAACAAGTGTTGTCCTTCATGGGCAAAGACGACCTCATCCAGCAGGGGAGGAAGAAAACGAGAGAAAAGAAATGGGAAAGATACAGGGAGGGAGAAAAGGAGAAAAGAGAGGGAGGGAGGGAAGAGAGAGGACGGGAGCAGAGGCTAGGTCGCATGGGTATGTAGGTGACTTATAACCCAATCTTTGCCTTGAACAATCTGCTACAGCAGAGGCAGGAAAGTGATGAGGACTGGGTATGAGAGGTCTTTGTTTTCCTGGCCACGCATTTCCTCATTGCTTCTGCCATGCATTGCTGTTCAAAGGCCAGTGCTCTGTTCTGGATCGATGACCTCCAGGATGGACAGTCACGAGCGATTTGCTCCCATGACTCCAGGTCAATGCCAAAACTCTTTAGGGACACCTTTAGGGTGTCCTTATACTGCTTATTTGGTGTGCTGCAAGAGCGTTCTCCATTTGACAGTTCACCATAAACTTTTTTGGCAGGCAGTGTCCGGCATTCTTGAAAGGTGTCCTAGAAAGGTGCTCAGCCCATCTTAGCTGTGACAGTTTCAGTAGAGTGTGAATACTGGGGAGAGCTGATCTTCCAAGCACTTTGGTGTCCAGAAACTTGTCCTTCCACTGTCTGCGAAAGATCTTTAGTATCTTTCGCAGACAGCACAGCTGGAAGTGGCTTAGTTTCTAGACATATTGCTGGTAGACGGTCCAGGTTTCGCAGGCATAGAGGAGGGTTGGGAGAATGATGGCTTTGCATACACTCAATTTCATCAACATTCTCATGCCTCTGCAGTCCCAGACTGACTTACGGAGTTTGCCGAAGGCCATGCTAGCTTTTGCTAGTCTCACGTTGACTTCATCGTTGATGTGGACAGCACAGGAGAGCATGTTGTCTAGACAGACAAACTTGTAGACCATTGACAGTTGTTGGCCTATAACCAAGATGTGCGGTTCCTGGGGTGTTGTGCCGGGCATTGATTGAAACATCACTTCGGTCTTCTTCATGTTAATAGTGAGTCTGAAGTTGTCACAAGCTGATGAGAATAGGTCCATGGACTGTTGCATGTCAGCCTGTGAGCCTGCATATAATGCACGGTCGTCAGCAAAGAGGAAGTCGCGAAGCATGGCTCTCTGGACTTCGGAGTTCGCTCAGAGCCTGTGCAGGTTGAAGATGTCTCCATCAATGGTACCTGATCCCCATACCAAGGCCGTCGTCTTGGAAGGCATCCGACAGCATGGCAGAGAATACCATGCTGAAGAGGGTAGGTGTGAGCACACAGCCCTGCTTGACACCATTTGTGACTGGAAAGGGGTCAGAGCATTCACCATTCACAAGGACGCGTGTCATGCTGTCGTGGAACTGTTGAACCATACTGATGAATTTTCCAGGGCATCCATACTTCTTCATGATTTCCCAGAGGCCTTCACAGTTCACCATGTCAAAGGCTTTGGTTAGGTCGATGAACGTGAAGAGAAGGTTGATGTTCTGTTCCTGGCACTTTTCTTGAAGCTGCCGGGCCGCAAACACCATGTCGGTGGTTCTGTGTCCTTTTCTGAAGCCGCATTGGCTCTCAGGCAGTAGGTCATTTAGATGGTCGGCCAGAGATCCTCTGAAATCTGCAGTGTGTGGGCACAGGAGTTAGTCCCTTAAGAATTCAAGGATGCCTCCATCATCCACCTGTACAAGAGGAAAGGAAATCACCAACTCTTTGACAACCACAGGGGCATCTCTCTCCTCTCAACTGCCTGTAAGATACTCGCTAGAGTCCTCCTCAACCAGCTGACCAAAAAACAAGTGAAAGGTAAGGATTGGCATTTTCCAAGGAGGACCTTGAGTCTGAGGGATTTTCAACCTCTCAATGAGATTGAGAACCACTGACATAGAACTATGTATCGTGAATTAAGCCATGATCTCTTGCCCAATAATCAGGTTCTCTAGATATATTAATTGCCACTTAACCATATGCACATATCCCCACACAAACCTCTTCCTCTTTAAGTCTTGCCATAATAATTTTCTTTTACCTCCCCATACCCTCCAGTTTTTACATTCCACCAATTTTTGCCTCTGCTTCCCTGCCACCCTACTTCCTTTGCTTTGATGTACAACAATTCCTGGCCATCTCTGAAAGGCCCCAATCCTACACCATTGTACCTGCACAGGCAATGGTTCACAAAGGATAATATGATTATATAATTGGTGCTAAAATCTGCCTAGAAACGGATCCATATGAAGCTGCAATACACCTCCTCATCCCAGCCAGGCAGCCTGGATAACGAAGAGTGAAGCTCCAAGACTTTGCTCCTTTATTTTTTCCCTATCTTGTGGGAGTTAGAAAGTTGTGACCCATTTTGCAGCCTAGTTCCAGTTGTATTTTGATACTGAACAAAACCCTTTGACTTGCTTTGGTGAGTCAGGGGCTGCCACTGGATGCTAGAGGACAGACCAGGAAAACAGCATGGGCTCTAGAGAGGCTGTACCCATCCTTCCAGGCACTGCTGCTGTAGAAATAAATAAATAATGAGCACCATTTATGGTCCCTGCAGGGAGTGCCATTGCTCAGCCAGAGGCCTCTGTGATTCTGATCTGCTTTGCCTGCAAGAAATGGAGCCACAAATAGCCTCCACACCCCAGGAAACTATTACGTAGAAGGATATTACAGCAAAGGTGTCATGCACCTGTGGAGAAGGCTAAATTCCATTTTCTTTAATTACCAGCAGAGATTTCAATTCATGGCTACATACTCCCTTTGGTTTAGTGGGGATGTGTCATTGATGTCAGAGAGACGTTTGCAAACAGATTACAGGTTGAATATGGCCTTTGTCTGCTAACTAAATACAAGATATTATTTGTTCAGTATCTGATTGTCACATTCCACATGTCATAAAAACTACTTCAGCTCCAAGACCCTTGATCTTTTGAACCTTGTTGCTCTTCCGTTCTTGTTGCTCCTCCTTCAGTTCACACCTTCTATTGTGGAAGGCTAAAGGAGCTCACTTGTTTTAGCATTTTCATGAAAAAGTTAAGGAGGGACTGGATTGAAGGTTTTTAATACCTACTCAGGGAAGAGATTTTGGGTAAGGGATAGCTATAATAGAAGGGGAAAAAAGGAATAAAAATAGCCAAATGCTGGGAATTAAATAAATATGGACTTGAAATTAGGTGCACATAGGTAAAGAGCCTTAACCAGTGGAGCGTGAATGCTCAATATCTCCTAAACATTAAGCTTCGTTTCTGCCAGAAGTTATGGGCTTGATTCAGGAGATTCTAGGGCCTATGTTACATAGGTCAGGTTGGATGATCAAAAGAGTCCTTTTTGG